CACATATATAGAAAATAGAAAAATAAATGTTACTAGAAACCTGACTGAAGTCAAGCAGGATATGCTTACATCTCTTCCATCCCTGCCATTTTCTCCTGGGGCCCCATGGGGGCCTTCTGGGCCTGGTGCACCTGGGGGACCTGGAATTGTTTTTTCAGGCTAAGAGAAGAGACAAACAATCATGATGTGGGACAGATACTGAAGAGAGCACAAACACTCATTCATATTCTGTTTTAATACTAAACTGTAGATATACAGGTAGTCCATCTTTTTGGTCTCAAAGCATCAAACTATGCCATTTTATCAAAGCCAGTGGCAAATTTATGCAACCTTTAAGGTCTTGATTGGCTCTTGTGCCAGAAAACAGTACTAGTATTTGTGTTTATACACACACAAAAAAAGGCTATGACATCTTGTTATATATCCTGATGCATGCTCAATAATCCTGACATCAGCTGGTTTTGGTTGTCAGCAGCAAACTGGTTGATCCACTCTGTGAAGGTGCTATTTAAGAGACTGAGCTGAGAACAGCACCTCAGACTGAGGAAGTCTCTTGGATGAGAGACGAAACGTTTCTAGATTTTTTTGCTTTGTTTTGTTTTTTGTTTAATTGAATGTCCAGAGGACCAGATTGAACTTTTTTGGATCTTGTTATATAAAACTAAAACAACAGGTTCAGAGAGGAGTGAGATGATTTTATCTGTTTCAATACTTGTGTGGCCAATTTCTTGAAACCTCATATCAATTATATCAAGTGAAAAAACTTTTTCACAGAGAAAAGAAATTCAAATTTGATCACAACCTAACAGAAAGGTTACATCAAGTGTTGAAAATAAGATGAAGCCATCATTCATCATTTCACCACATTGAAGTGACAAAGGCCTTCTTTAAGTTGAGTTTTGACACCAGTGACTCCTGTGAAAAGGACAGTTTTTAACTTTACTAAAGTGAAAATAAGCTAATTTATAAGAAAAAATTGGACAAATACTGGGACTAGATTGTTTAGCTGAAGCCTTATATTAGTCCTTCTACAGCTAGTATTTATACAAATCAAGCTATATATTTTTAAGTCTTTTGTAGCACAAATGTCAAACTATTTTTATTAATATTCTGTGCTCTGTATCTTCAGTCGGCTTGATTTTAAATTTAAATAACTCTAGGTTGTTTGCACATAGAAAAATTGTACTAAAATCAATAAAAGTAAAGATAAATGTTAAGAAACAAAACCACCACCACAGACTAAATGGAGTAAAGAGCAATAGGGCAATTAGGCAAATGTAGCACTAAAACAGATAAATGGCTTCAAATCCCAAAGTAAAAAGAAAGTAAAGAAGAAAAATTAAATACCTCAGCATTGGCAAACATCTGCAGAAGCAAGAGAAATCAGAAAAAAGAAGAGTTAATGAAAAGTAATGACACCGCCCTCACCAAAGTGTCAGCAGAAGCATTCATAATCCCAGTAGTGAGGGATAAATATCATGCTGCTGTTTAAAGCCCCAAACACATTACCTCCACTCTCTGTGTTAGCCTGAAAGCTAGAAGAGAACACCAGGCCAGGAAATGTTTCTGCTACATGAGCTATAGTCATTTACATCCAGAGCCATGTGACAAAATAAAAACACTTTCTGCTGATCATAATTCTTTACACAGCAGGTGATATGTGAGACAGCAGGGTGGCATTTTCACTGCAAGCTGCAAAAAATGTCTCAGAGGCAAACAAATCTACAACTGCCCTTCAGCCATGGAGAAACAGGAAATATTTAAAAAGAAATGTCATAAAATAGTCAGTGACAAAAAACAAAGTTATCTGGTCTACATGCAGACCAGACCAGAGATGAGTCTATACAGTAAATTAATGGATTTGTGAGGGCATGGTATGGGAAACGACAGTGTGTCCTGGAGGAGCGTGATTGGGAGGAATGGCCTCTCTAAAATGAATCTGAGCAGTGTTCTGTTGTTGGACTTCTGTGCTAGTCATGGTTTGTCCATCACAAACACCATAATCAAGCATAAGGGTGTCCATAAGTAAGCTTGGCACCAGGACACCATAGATTGTAGATCAATGATTGACTTTGTAGTCGTATCATCTGATTTGCAGCCATTTGTTTTGGGTGAAGAGAGGAACTGAGTTAACTAATCACCACTTGATAGTGAGTTGGATCAGATGGCGGGGAAAGATGCTAGACAGACCTGGTAGACCCAAACGTGTAGTGAGGGTCTGCTGGGAACGCCTGGCAGAAGAAGTCGTCAGAAAAATCTTTAACTTGCACCACCGGGCGAGCTTTAACTGCATCCCAGCTGAGGTGGGGGACATTGAGTTAGAGTGGGTCATGTTCCGCGCCTCGCTTGTTGAGGAAGATGTCTTGAGCTTTGACGTCAAAGTTGTCAGTGCTTTTTGCGGTGGCCATCCATGAACTAAAGATAGAAAGATGAATAAAGATGAAATAAAGACTCGTTCCACGCAGAGGAGATACTGGCAAACCATCTGAAAAGAGGAAAGCAGTGCTTTACTAACACTGTGTTCAGTGAAGGTGGGGTGCTTTTCACCTTAACCAGTGATGGCGTGGGGACGTGGAAGAAATACTTCTTGGACCTTCTCAATCCCACCAGCACATCTTCTATGAAGGAAGCTGAGTTGGGGGACTTCAGGATTGGACTGTCCATCCATGGCTGAAGTTATCAAGGTAGATAAAAAGCTCCATGGTGACAGGGCTCTGGGGTGGGTGAGATCTACCCTGATTTCCTTAAGGCTCTAGATATTGTCGAGCTGTCTTGGTTGACATGCCTTTGCAATGTTACGTGGACATCGGTGGCAGTGCCACTGGATAAGGAGACTGGGTTGGTGGTTCCCCTCTTCAAAAAGGGTGGCCAGAGGGTGTGCTCCAATTAAAGGGCACTCTCCTTAGCCTCCCTGGTAAGGTCTATTCAGGGGTACTGGAGTAATGAGTCAGATTGTTGGTCGAACTTCAAATCCAGGAGGAACAATGTGGGTTCCGTAATGGATGTGGAACATTGGACCAGCTCTTTACTCTCACTAGAGTCCATGAGGGTCATGGAAGTTTGCCTATCTAGTCTACATGTGTTTTGTGGATTTAGAGAATGGGTTTGAATGGGTTTCCTCTGGGGACATTGTGAGGACTGCTCTGTGGACATAGGATTGGGGGTCCATTGCTATGGGCTGTTCGGTTCCTACACAAGCAGTGCAAAAGTTTGGTTCACGTTGCTGCTAGTAAATTGGACCCCTTCAGGGTGGGAGTTGGACTCCTCCAGGGCTGCCCTTTGTCATTGATTCTGTTCATAATTCTTATGGACAGAATTTCTTGGTGCAGCCAGCGGGTTGAAGGTTTCTGGTTCAGTGGCCTCATGATTCCATCTCTACTCTTTACTGATGATGTGGACCTGTTGGCGTCATTGTGCTATGATCCTCAGCTCTCACTGGAGCGGTTCACAGCTGTGTGTGAAGCAGCTGGTATCAGAATCAGCACCTCTAAATCTGAGGCCCTGGTCGTCAGTAAGAAAAAGGTGGATTGTTCTCTTCAGGTCGAGGGTGAAGCTCTGTTTCAAGTGGAGAAGTTTAAGTGCAGTGTTGCTTGAAAGTTTGTGAAGCCTTTAGCATTTTCTATATTTCTGCATAAACATGACCTAAAACATTATCCGATTTTCACCCAAGTCCTAAAACTAGATAAAGAGAACCCAGTTAAACAAATGAGACAAAATTATTATACATGGTCATGGTCATCAATGGATGATGATAAAGTGTGAGTGAGCACTCTGTTTGATTTAAAGAACAACATCTATCAAAGTCTGCTCCTCACAACATGTTTGTGGAAGTGCATCATGGCAGAAACAAAGGAGATTTTTCAGAAAAAGAGTTGTTGATGCTCATCAGGCTGGAAAAGGTTACAAACCATCTGTAAAGAGTTTGGACTCCACCAATCCACAATCAGACAGATTGTGTACAAATGGAGGAAATGCAAGAGCATTGTTACCCTCCTCAGGAGTGGTGGACCAAAAAAGATCACTCCAAGAGCAAGGTGTGGAATAGTCGTCAAGGTCACAAAGGACCCCAGGGTAACTTCTAAGCAACTGAAGACCTCTCTCACAAACTGACTAATGTTGATGTTCACGAGTCCACCATCAGGAGAACACTGAACAACAATGGTGGTCATGGCAGGGTTGAAGGAGAAAGACACTGCTCTCCTAAAAGAACATGGTTGCTTGTCTGCAGTTTGTTAAAGATCACATGGACAAGCCAAAAGACTGTTGGAAGAATGTTTTGTGGATGGATGAGACCAAAATAGAACTCTTTGGTTTAATTTTTTTTGGTTTAGCTTTTGACACTGTGGATCATAACATCTTGTGTCATAAACTCTCATAAATCGGTTTCTCAGATCACACCATTGGTTGGTTCTCTAACTATCTCTCAGACCGGAGGCAATGTGTTCAACATAATGGTACTTCCTCCAGTTAATTAACAGTCAACAATGGTGTACCACAAGGCTCAGTCTTAGGACCCACCCTCTTTACAATCTACATATGTAATGTAGGTAAAAACATCCCTAATGCATCCATACATTTCTATGCTGATGACACAGTTGTTTATTGTCGAGCTAAAACAGTTGATGAGGCTTTTCAGCTTTTGGAATCCGAATTTGACATCATCCAGTCAGATTTGTTCCACCTCAAACTTGTCTTAAATGCAGATAAAACCAAAGGGATGCTTTTTTCAAACAGGAAGTCGTCCCAGCAGTTCTTCGTCTGATTTTATCATCAAATGGTGTCCCCACTGAGTTTGTTGATTCCTATAAATATTTGGGTATCTTGGTCGACTCGCATCTCTCTTTTAAGCTCCATGTGGAAAACTTGATAAAGAAACTGAAAGTTAAACTGGGTTTCTTTTTCAGAAACAGATCCTGTCTAACTCTGAATGCTAGGAAATGGCTTGTATCTGTGACCTTCCTTCCCTACATTGATTACAGTGACATTATTATTGGGCGGCTGTGGCTGAATGGTTAGAGCAGTCGTCCTCCAATGCGAGAGTTTGGGGTTCGAATCCACCAACAGTCACATGCTGAAGTGTCCCTGGGCAAGACACTGAACCCCTCATAGCCTCTGATGTGTGTCCCATCAGTGTATGAATGTGATCTAAAAGCACTGATTAGTCTCATTAGAATGATTTGTTCAGTTAGCTTTGTAGAGATGTAGAGTGCTGTATGAATGGGTAAATGAGGGCACAGATTGTAGTGTAAAGCGCTTTGAGTATCTTGAAATAAGATAGAAAGGTGCTATATAAGTACAGTCCATTTACCATTATTTACATGAATGCTCCTACAAGAACCCTGCAGATGTTGGATGCTGTCTATCACGGTGCACTAAGATTCATAACTGGCTGTGATTATCGTACCCACCACTGTACCCAGTATTCACTGGTTAACTGGACATCATTAACTTCACACAGACTCTCTCACTGGTACATTTTCATCTTTAAATCACTTCTTGGTCTGCTGCCTTCATACATCTCCTCCTACATGTCTCTGTGTGAGTGCAGCTACAGCGTGCACTCTCAGGACATTATTACCTGCAGTGTTCCCTCAATGAGGACTGAACTAGACAAAAGGACCTTCTCCTACTCCGCTCCTGTTTCCTGGAATATCTTACATAAAGAACTGAAGCTCTCGACCTTGACCTCTCTAAGTGGCTTTAAGAATGTTGGACTCCTGGCAGGGACCAATGCAGACATGTTCCTGTTTTTAGTTTTCTACATTCTCCTTAGAATCTAGCTGTTTTTGTTACTTTTCTTTTTTTTATCCATCCTATTTGTTTAAAAAAATCTGTATGACTTTTTATAACTGTTTATTGTTGTCCCTGTTCATTCTTGGCATCATACTTTGTTGAAATCAGGTCTCTCTTGATGAGTCCTCGAGGCTCAATGGGATTTATCTGTCTAAATAAAGGTTGAATGAATAAATGAAAAGTGTTCTGTTTGGAGAATGGAAAACAGCATTCCTGCATAAGAACCTTATCACATTTGTGAAACATGGTGATGGTAGTATCATGGTCTGGGTCTGTTTTGCTGCATCTGGGCCAGGAGGGCTTGCCATCATTGATGGAACAATTAATTCTGAATTATGTCAGAGAATCCTAAAGGAAAATGCCGGAACATCTGTCCATGAACTGAATGTCAAGAGAAGGTGGGTCATGCAGCAACACAATGACCTGAAGCACACAAGTGGTTTTACCAAAGAACGGTTCAACGGTTCAAGAAGAATAAAGCTCATGTTGTGGAATGGCCAAGTCAAAGTCTCCAAGTCATACTTTTGCAACTTGCAAATATGTAATATTGGATAATTTTTCTTAATAAATATAAACTATATAATATTTTTGTCTCATTTGTTTAACTGGGTTCTCTTAATCTACTTTCAAGACGTGTGAAAATCTGATGATGTTTTAGGACACATTTACGCAGAAATATAGAAAAATCTAAAACAGTAACAAACTTTCAAGCACCACTGTATCTCAGGGTTTAGTTCACAACTGAGGGAATATGCTGGTGAAGAATCTCAGTCATCCAGAACATGATGAATTCAAAAAGCATTCAATACAAAAACAACTGGACTTTATTTGTAACAGAAGACGTTTCGCTCCTCATCCGAGGAGCTTTTTCAATTCAATGAGCAGAGAGTGAGAGATTCAGGTTATAAGGCTGAGTGAGATAAGACACACACACATATGTAGATTTGACAAGTCACACCTCAACATCTTAACAGTAGGGGTTTCTTAAGGTCTTTGTTACTCTAATTCACAGATGAGACCCCTCTGTTCCCATCAAGTGTGAAAACCGGCTGGGAATCTGTCTTAAAGTTGCATTATAGGTTTTTGAAAGTGGAAATCCACAAAGAAGGAACACCACTCAGACCCATCGTCAGCAGCATGAACTCAGTGACATACAATATTGCTAAACATCTGGCTGGTATTTTAGCTCCTCTTGTTGGAAACACACCTCATCACATAAAGAACTCCATTGATTTTGCTAACAAAGTTCAACACTTGAAACTAACCCCAGGAGAAACCCTTGTATCGTATGATGTGACTTCTCTTTTCACATGCATACCCATCTCTGAAGCAGTAGAAACCGTCAGAAAACAACTTCTACAAGACAAGGACTTAATCAACAGGACCAACTTCACCCCGGACCAGATCTGCACCCTGTTGGATCTCTGCCTCTCCACCACTTATTTCAAGTTCAATGACAATTTTTACAGACAGAAGCACGGCTGTGCCATGGGATCTCCAGTGTCACCCATTAAGAAATATGAACATATATGAATATGAATATAATATGAATATATTATGTTCTAGAATTGCGCCGCTCAAGGTGGCTGCATGTTGGAGCAGCTCTGTTACTTTCATTTTGAGATTTTGCTTTTGGAAACTTTAATTCCTCTTTATCTGGATGTAAATCACGTTTTTTGGATGATTGTTTCCTCTGGTATCAGATGCTGTGCAGCTGGAAGGATTTTTACTGAAACTTTTTTTTAGTTTTGGACATTTGTTATGATGCGTAACCATGGCAACAAAGCAGTTTTCTACAATCAACAGCAGCTGATTAACATCTCAAAAGCTCAAATATTATCTCAGCTACAGTCTCTAATCTCAAATGAGTTGAAAGGATGTTCTGTGGATGCATTCTCATCTACCTGCCAGCTGTGCAAGAGTGCCTGACCACTGAGATCCTGGAACTAGCAGGAAACACGGCTCATGACAGAGGAAGGACAGGATCATCCCTCGGTACCTACAGCTGGCTGTCCGCAGCGACAAGGAGCTCGGCAGACTGCTGGGAGGAGTGGCCATCGCTCTTGGAAGAGTTCTGCCCGGCATTCAGGCGGTCCTACAGCCCGGGGGAATCAAGAGGCCAGCCGAGTCTGGGTGGACAGATCGGATGCCATCTGCAGCCAGTTTTATAGGACCCACTGTGGGATGGACCTTTACAAGAGATCCTTCTTGTCTACAGCCATCAGTATCTGTAACATCTCTTAATGAAATGAGGATAACGAGTTACAACAAGAATTTCCCTTTGGGATTAATAAAGTATTTTTGAATTGAATTGAATTGAATTGTTGCCAGTCTCTACATGGAGGAAGTGGAACAGAGAGCCCTAAACTCCATTGAGGGAACAACGCCAAGCCATTGGTTCCGAAATGTGGTTGGCACCTGGGTCAAAATCCAAGCCAAGGAAATAGAAGCGTTCACCAGACACATTAACTCGGTCGATAACAACATCAAGTTCACCAGAGAGGATGCAAATGACAACAAGCTGCCTTTTTTGGACTGTTTGGTTCAGATAGAAAGAGAGGACAGCCTCAACATTGAAGTTGACAGAAAACCAATCCACACAGACCAGTATCTTCTGTTTGACTCCCACCATCCACTGGAACACAAACTCTCTGTCATCAGAACTTTACAACATTGGGCCGAACACGTCCCCACGAAGACAGAAGGGAAGGAAAAGGAACAGAAACACATTCAAGAAGCTCTTCAAACATGTGGATATCCTAACTGGGCTTTTGTCAAGTCAGCGAGGAAATCTACAAAACACACTAATAAACAGAAAAAGGAGAACAACAGACGTAAAAACATTGTCATCCCTTATGTTGCTGGAGTATCAGAGAAATTCAGAAGGATCTTCAACAAACACAAGATCCCAATATATTTCAAACCCAGCAGGACTCTCAGACAGAGGCTGGTCCACCCTAAAGACAAAACACCCATACACAGACAGAGTGGTGTAGTGTATGCAGTCCAGTGCAGCGAGGACTGTCCAGACCTCTACATTGGAGAAACTAAACAGCCTCTTCACAGACGCATGGCTCAACACAGGAGAGCCACCTCCTCAGGACAAGACTCAGCTGTTCACCTCCACCTCACAGATAAGGGACACTCTTTTGAGGACCAAAATGTGCACATTTTGGACCGAGAACACAGATGGTTTGAGAGGGGGGGTGAAGGAAGCAATTTATGTAAAAAGAGAAAAGCCGTCTCTTAACAGAGGAGGAGGCCTCAGATTTTTAGTTTCAAAAACATATAATGCAACTTTAAAACAGATTCCCAGCCGGTTTTCACACCTGATGGGAACAGAGGGGCCTCGTCTGTGAATTAGAGGATCAAAGACCTTAAGAAACCCCCACTGTTAAGGTGTTGAGGTGTGACTTGTCAAATCTACATGTGTGTGTGTGTCTTATCTCAGTCTGCCTTATAACCTGTATCTCTCACTCACTGCTCTTTGAATTGAAAAAGCTCCTCGGATGAGGAGCGAAACGTCTTCTGTTACAAATAAAGTCCAGTTGTTTTTGTATTGAACATTTTTTGAATACAACTGAGGGAAGAATGGAGCATGAGCTGCATGAGCTTGACAGACGAATGGATGCAGTCTCTGCAGTATTGCAGACTCTGTGCTGGTCCGCTGTGCTGAAGAGAGAACTGAGTTGTAAGGCGAAGCTGTCTGTCTACATTCCTTCCCTCGCATATGGACACAAACTCGGGGTAGTGACAGAAAGAATGAGAGTGTGGATACAGGAGGTTGAAATGAGTTTCCTCTGCAGGGTAGCTGGACTCTCCCTTAGAGACAGGGTGAGAAGTTCAGTTATCAGGAGAGACTCAGAGTAGAACCACTGCTCCTCCACATCCAGAGGAGCCAGTTGAGGTGGTTTGGGCATCTGGTAAGGATGCTCCCTGGGCACCTACCTAGGGAAGTGCTTTGGGCATGTCCGACTGGGAGGAGACCCCGGGCAATGTCCAAGATTGTTTTTTTGTAATTTTTTATTTTTTGGTGTGTGAGATTGTAAAATAAATATATCTGAATTTTGCATATCTACCATCATATTGTCTTGTATTTTACTTTTTACTGCGGGTGGGTGGCAAGCGTTAATGACACAAGTGACTCAAGTGAACCAGGTTACTTTAGTGAGTGATTCTGATTAAGCCGGATCTTTAAAGTGAACTGGATTCACTGGCTCTACTTTAAAGGCCAAAATAACAGTAACTCCACTATGAAGGAGAAGATTGATGATGAGGCAAAACAAAGTTGCATTTAGTTTAAAAAATTTGTTTGACCACAAGAAATTGCTGAACTGACTAAAATTATGTTTAAATGATAAAAAGGAGACATCTGTCACATATTTACTGCATGACGTTGTGTGTCAGTGCAGCTGAGTCCTGCTTCATGTTTGGTTTCACAAAGCTCATGTCTATGTGGGTCATGACCAGCTCAAAGAGATCTGTGAACAGTTAAAGCATCTGCAGCTCCACATAATATTTGCTGCAACCCTTCTTCAGCATGCAAAGGGCTCCAGTTATTCGAGTGAGACATGCAGCACAGCGAGGGCTCAGCAGTTACTGTACCTCGGTGGCAGGAAGCTCGTTGCAGTTTTCTCTCTGGGCTCTCTTTGGGTCGCAGTGAATCAACATCCACTGAAGCTCGAACTGAAGAAAAGATGTTAACATTACCACTTTTACAATGTCAGGTTATGGAGCCATTTACATGTCTAACAAAAAAAAAAAAAGCTATCTCAAATGCTTAGTAATGGTGCAGTTATTTCTTTGAGGTTTTCAGTAAATGCTTTTTTATGGGCTGTTGAGCTTGATTTTGTAACTCTGCAATTTTCTACAGGGATTAAGCTTTTTCTTTTTTCCCCCCCTCTGGAACCCAGCTGAGCAGCTTTGCTGTGACAGCAGCACTTGCAAATTATAGCAGCGCTCAGCACACACAAACCTGGATGAGAGCAACATTTTCCTGACAACCTGTAACTACAGTTAGAACACAGGAGGCAATTCTCACCACCACAGAGGCTTCAGGATCCGAATCCAGCCTGCCAATAAGAGTGTCTCCCACTGTGTTGATGAGGCCTTTGCCCTTGATGGGTTTCTGATCCACAGGCTGGCAGTCCACATACAGTGTGACCTGGTCCCGCTCCACACCGATCATCACCTTGTGCCATTTGGTGTTGAAAAGTACAGAGAGGCCAGGGAAGGTGACAGTCTGGAGGTTTCCATCTGCTCCCATCAGGAAGTACTCCAGAGCCTGTTGGTCCCCATTCAGCCGAAGTCCAGCTTGTTTGTAACCATCTTCATCCACTATCTGCCAAACGTTCCATACCTTGTTCACCGTGCTCTTGATCATGCGAAAGGTGGTCATGAGGGAGTACTCATCTGGGAAGCCACGTGGAAAGTTGAGCCTGAGGGGGACATCAGATGATTTTTATATCTGAGATTCCTTTGAATTGAATCTCAATGAAAGACAATACAGCAGTCAAGTCACAGCTTACTAAATGTTTTTTTATTTCAAAGCTGCTTCATAAACATGAAAAAAATCAGATCTCAGCTAAACATCAAATCAAAGGTCTATCGCCTTCAAGCTTTACTAAGATCATCTTATGTTAAGAAATGATGAAGTTATCCTCGCTGTGTTGGTCAGACCATTACAATGATGTGTCATGCGATACCATAAGATGTCATGCTCGGAACATGTGTTATAAATCACTCTTGGCTCCTTCCATATCACATCATAAAAGCCCACTACTATCCCCTGGCTTTCAACACTGTATGATCTGTGCTGAACCGGTATGTATCACACTGTGTTAGTCATTATGTTATTAACTGCTATTATTTTGTTTCTACATTTTGATTTTACGTTATGTTATATGTTGCTGTGTGCTTTGGCTGTTTGTTTCTGTTTGTACAGCACTTTGGTTGGCCCTGTTGCTGCTTTATAAATAAAATGGTATGGTATCTCAGCTCAAAATGTGTACATGTTGACAAAGTCATGGCCATTGTCACATTGAATAAAGTCAAAAGTAATTAGGTCAAATATTAAATTAAAATGAAGTATTTTGCTTTATTTAACCAGACAAATCCCATTGAGATCACAGATCTATTTTGCAAGGGAGGCCTGGGACTGAAGGCAGCCTAACATGCATGTTTTTGATCTGTGGGAGAAAACCGGAGTATCTGGAGAAAACCCACACAAGCACGAGGAGAACATACAAACTCGACACAGAAAGTCCCTGGGCTCAGTTGAACCAGGGACTTGCCCAAAACTGAATTGGATAAACTCCAAAGTGAATCAATTGCAGATCTACATATAATAATTATTTTCATAGAGTTTCAATCAATTCTGTGCAGTTTATGAGATAGTTTACTCACAGATAAGCATGGCTGATTCCAACAGTTAATACGAAAGTTTCAATAAAAATCTTGCACAATGAGCAGCACTTAGAGTATCTGTGAATCACTTTCAGCTACTACCACAACAAATTAAAATTTATTTTAAAAAAACTGAACTGAAGCTACTGTTTGTGTTTTCTAAAGTCAATTAGCTGTGGCAGCCATCTTGAATTGTGTTGACTGTTTAAGTCAATGAGTTGTAAATGTACTTAAACTGATTGTTTCTTGATAGTTTCATTAAATCCATCCTGTAAATATTGAGGTATTTTGCTAACAGACAGAGTGGATTACATGCTCATGTTGAGTTGGGCTTTGGCTCCAACAAGAAATTGGTGTAAATGTACATGTGATAATTGGTTTTTGCATTTTTTTTAAATCCATCTAGTGACATCTAAGACACACACAGACAGACGTGGGAAAAAACATCATCATCATCTGCCTTTGCCTTTTCTTAAAGTCAAATATGTCTTAAAACAAAAAAAACTACAAGATTTATTATCTCTGTCTTTGAATTCCAAAATAAAGTGAAATGTTTTCGAGATAATTCTAGTAAAGAAGCTGCTTTGGTGCATAAATCAGTCACAACGTGCAGTTCTGGTTCACTGTCGAGAACTTCCTGAATTTAAACGAGCTAGATTCCCAGCAGGTGGTGAAGTCACAGCCGGGCACTGCAGCCGCACTTTTAGCATCTTGTAAATGATCAAGGTGAAGCAATAAAAGGAGTTTCCTGTGAGCCAATGAAAGAAATACAGACTTCTCTTTTTTAAACCTGCCGTAGGTCAGAGAGGCGCAGGCATGTGGCACTTGTAGCCTGCAGGAGACAAAAGAGGGAGTGCAGCTGAAGTGAAGCTGAACATCAAAGCTCTGCAGCGAATGCTGGACATGTAGCGTGTGTTAGAATCCTAAAGGAAAGCTGACAGAGGAAACACCAGCTGAAACACGCTGGGAGACGCCTGGGTTACTGATGTAATGCTTTAGTGTTTAAGTTGCACAAACGGTGGCCTATTTTAGCAAAATTCTTGTCAGTAAGTAGTTACCACTGATCAACAAGTGATACGTCGATGCCCACTGAGATTTGGATAGTTTCAATGTTTGTACTTTTTTAGATGAGTGTTTTTCTAGACTGGGATTGAACAGGGAATGCAAGTAAACCTTAATGTAGAGGTAGTTTTTTTGGGGTTTTCTTTTGTTTGTCCACCATCGGACACAATGGTGGAGCCAAGTTGTGGTCACTGGTGGCCTTGGTGATCATAGAATCATATTTGGCCAACCCAATCATTTAAGGAACTATCAAGTCATTTAAGGAAACTATACTTTTAATCATCAAAGTCCATGCTCAATAATCCAAGTAAAAATTCCAAAGTTAAGTCAGATCATCTAGGTGGCTTCTATTTTATTGAGACGTTTCGTCCTTCATCCAAAGCTCTTCATCAGTCTTAGGAGCCACAACAAGTCAAGTCAAGTCAACTTTATTTATAGAGCACATTTAAAACAGAACCTGTTATCAAAGTGCTTGACAACAACAATCGATGAGAGTAAAATTAAAGAGAGAAAAAAAATAAAAAATAAAATATATATATATATATATATATATAATACACTAATAATAAACAATAATAACAAACTCAATCCCACAAGCAGCACACTCCCATAATGGGCCAACCAGTTTTATGGTGCAAAGATAGAATGAAGAACGACATGTTTCACAAAAAAAAAAAGAAAGAAAGAAAGAAACCCTCCAGAGGACCTGACTTAACGTTGTTGGATTTTTTACATGGATTCTTGAGCATGAACTTTGATGTTTTGAACCACTTTGGCCATGGCTGCCTCAGAGGAGTTGACGGGGTAGAGGACGGACTCCAGAAACCATCTTATCAGCAGCAAACTAGTTGGTCCACTATGTGACTGTGCTGCTTATGGGACTGTTTTTTTTTGTTTCTTGGACTGATGAAGTCCTTTGGATGACGGACGAAACGTTTCAACAACAGCAAATAAAGAAACCGTCCAGAGGACCTGACTTAACTTTGTTGGATACTTTTAAGCAATATAAAAACTAGAAAGCACAAGTTTTCTCAAATTATCTGTGTGTGTGGTTTACATAAATATTTGGGAGTGGCCATTTTGGCTTTTGACATGGCAACCCAGTTTTTGAAAGGAACCTTTATTACACCTACAAATAGTCACACAGCAAAATTAAAGTCAGTATTTTACTTTTTTCAACATTTCATGCTCACAACACGGATGGATGGATGGATGGATGGATGATGGATGGATGATGGATGGATGGATGGATGGATGGATGGATGGATGGATGGATGGATGGATGGATGGATGGATGATGGATGGATGGATGGATGATGGATGGAGGACATTTTCATATCCTCCTTTTCACTCCGTGATGGGGTACAAAAAGATGAAGTAATGCATTCACACAAATTAAGTCTTGTCCACAAAACACTGTTTTACATCTTTTAACTTATCTCTAAAATTACCCTCATTAAGACCATGTCTTTTTTTTATTTTTTAGAAAAGACCATGTCTTTTCTAAAATTATTTTTATTCACACAAAACGTAGAAAACAAGCTGCTGGAGTAACATTTCCATGCAGTGCTGTAACTCTGCTAAGAAAATACCCCAGAAACAGGGAAAAAGATGTGGAGCACATCGGGTCTGTAAACATAAACCATGGTGAATACACGAAGAAGGACCAAATCCTTTGAACTGATGGAAAAATGGAACTTCTACTTTGTTTCATGTTAACTACAAGAACTTAAAGGCATGGAACAGGGAGCGCTGATGGAGAGTCCACCTGCTTCTTCCTTTCCAGGTCGCAGGGATCCAGCAGTCACTTTGTGAGAGGTGGGGGACATCTTGGACAGGTCTCCAGTCCATCATAGGGACACACTGGACAGGTCTCCAGTCCATCACAGGGACACATAAAGACAAACGAGACAAACATCCATCCATCCATCCATCCATCCATCCATCCATCCATCCATCCATCCATCCATCCATCCATCCATTATCTTTACCCGCTTATTCCATTTTGGGTCACGGGGGTCGCCGGTGCCCATGTCCAGCAATCACTGTGCGAGGGGCGGGGTACACCCTGGACGGGTTGCAAGTCCATCACAGGGACACATAGAGACAAACGAGACAAACGAGACAAACGAGACAAACGAGACAAACAACCATTCACTCTCTCACTCACATCTAGGGACAATTTAGAGTTAGCAATCAGTCTAACATGCATGTTTTTGGTCTGGGGGAGGAAACTGAGGTATTCAGAGAAAACCCAAGGCGGCAGCTCTACCAACTGTGTCAAATATGCCAAATTTGCGGACATAATGGACATTTCAGTGAAGTGATAAAACCTTTTTGGCCTTGGATTTTTTTTATGTAATATTAAAGAGTACTGTTACCGTCCATCAGCTTCTTGCTCTTGAAGTAATACAGTATACAGAAGTTTTGCTGTAGTTAATCAACAATCTTCTGAAACACAACCACAAAATAAGTTATCATTACTGTTACATCTGACATGCTTGAGGTCGTAGTTAGGCAGGATGTGGGCTCACGACTATAACGTCTATGACATCATTGTTTTAAAAAGGCTGCGTCACGGCTGTCCATACAGAACGCAAGAGTGGACTTTTAAGATTTGTTCATTCTGAGACCCATTTAGAACAAGCGTTATGCGGCTCCTCAGACAACTTTTTCATGTGGACACAAGGCTGAAAAAAATGACAAATGTTTTTAATTCAAAATAACCTTTGGCAAATTTGTGCAAATTGCAAGGAACATTTTTATATTTGTGAATCTAAAGCATTATGACAACTCACAAATACAAATATTTCATGGTGACAGCTGGATCGTAAGACCTTTTGTTATGACTTCAGTTCCGGGTGATCGGCGAGCGTGTCATGGAGCCGTGTCGGCTGCATTCCTCTGGGTTTTCTGCTCACTCTGATCACGAGAGCCTCCTGGAGGCTGATCGGACCGTGGCCACAAACCACAAGGTTCACTCCTAATTCATGCCTAACGCAACTAGATAGAATTAGGTTAGATATGTTATTACTGTTAATAAAGAGTATCTTGTTCTGAAAAGCAGCTTTGGGACAACATAAAAGAAATCAGCAATAACAATGATAAAGATAAAAAATGAAAATCAATGGGAGGTAAAATAATTTTCTCTCACAGCTTATTTTATCCTCAAGGAGCCAAGATGGTTCATCCCTGCAGTCTGACACAGAAAGACTAATTATATCCTTTGACAGGAAACTGCCTGTCATTCAGTTTAACTCCAAACCTTTTGAAAGGTCCGACCCATGATTCATCAGAAAAGCGCTGGGTGAATTATGGTTCCATATGATTTTTGGACGTACAAAGAAGCTTCAGTCAACTGAAACATGCACACACATCACAACGTCTCTGCCTCTCAGAATGTTGGGACATGTTTTTCTTTAAATAATGATATGTTTCCAGCATGCTGCAACATCTGTAATAATGTAACATCTGCATCAGGAGGCCTTGCTGTGTTCTAAAAAGCTGTCTCTACTGTACTCACATAGTTGGAATTTGGAAGTTGGCCTCTCTGTCGAGACGATAGGCCACCTGGAGGGGGGTGGAGCCATCCACCTTCCGCACACCTTTTAGGGGAATCACGTCCAGCTGGAATTGGGTGATCAGATCAAACCCTGTGCGGAACAGCATGACATCATTCTTACAGGGCAGTATGTGCGGACTTGGCTTTAACAACAAGTTCAAACTGACGATGATGGTTTTAATGATGAATGTACAGTATGCTTACTGACCAAAATAAACTATAAAGAATCAGCAGCTAACACTGAAGAAAACACAGAAATCTTACAAGAAATCTTTACATGTTTTGGTCTGTTTCTGGTTGTGTCGTACTCTTTCTATATTCAGACGATGAATTGAACAGAACTCTGCGAGACGTTCAAAGCTTGGGATATCGGTTTAGACCCTAACACTACTTTAATGTTAACAACTTTACCCGTGATCTTATTTGATGTGTTCCTTGGTTTTCATGATACTGTTTGATCACTAATGTTCTGTGACAAACCTGTGAGGCCTTCACAGAACAGCTGCATTCATACTGACATTAAACTACACACAGGTCAACTTTTCTCCTTTACAATTACGCACCACTTTGTGTTGCTCTATCACATAAAATTACAGGAAAATGCTTTTAAGTTTATGGATATAATGTGAAAATTATCCACTGTCTATGTATTTTTCATACTGCATTGCAACAACTTAAATGAAACGAAACTGAAACTGGCATAACTAGTAGAAACTGTTTTAAAAACTTTTGACGCAGAAAATAGTTACCATAAAACATAATAAGAAAACAAATTTAATTCAGATTAATATTAGACAAAACTTAGTCATTAATTATCTGTGAAACAAAACACATTTTTCTAATTAACTAAAGCCAGTCAAACATTTTAAAGCTGTAAATAAACCACAAAGCTGCGTGCTGCAGCTGTGCTGAACAAGTCAAGCGTGCAGTGGATACCAATTACATTCTTGCTGAGCTCTTCCAAATAAATTTGTGCAAACCTCAAGTGGAACATTTTATTTACCTCATTTGAAATCTAAAAGTGTCTTTAGGCACTAAACAGCCCACCATGTTGAAGTAATTAAACTCACCACCTTCATTCGTATTCCCCCATTTTTTCCCCAAAAAGATTTGTGAAACTTTTTCTCATGCTAGCTTACCTGGGAGGTCATCTTGTCCAGTTCTGATTGGTGGGCAGACCGTGTCCCCGTCCAGGCGGCTCAGGTCTAACTCTGACAACACAGACACAACACAGAGATGATGTTTCACGTGTACAATGAAACAAACTCCTCATTTTCATTTAGTTTGGGTTTTCAGAGGATGACCAGAAAAGCAGGTATTTTATGTTAGAAAGAATGATCATCACAAAGCTCTGTTTCAGAACTGGTTCTGATTCAAAACCTTCACATAGTTATACACCCCAAACCTCTAACTCTGACTGAAACTAGAAAAAAAATGCAGTTTCTGTTTAACTGCTATGTGAGTTCTGAAAAACTTCCAGTAAATATGGTAAAGACGCAGAACCTGAGTGATTAAAGTCCAAACAAGCAGAACATGAGCTAAAACGAGCCAAACCAGAGTGACTTTGGTAAAAACAGTGAAAAGCCAAAATAAGGAAAACAGTAGATAAACCATAAAGGTACAAAATAAAACCTGAAAACTATGTTTAACAAAACAGTATAGAAAAGTTTAAAGCAGCAGAAAAATAGTTAAAATCTTAAATAAGCAAAGCAATAAATAAACTTTGGCATTAGAAAAAGTAGCAATACAATAGCTAAATGCTAAATCTAGCAAAGCAGAAGTAAGGGCAACTAAAAAGTGGACCAGGAAGTGGGAAAGATCGGTGAGAGTGAAGTCTGGAAAGCTCTGAAAAGAATGAAGAAGGGGAAGGCAGTAGGACCTGATGGCATACCAATGGAGGTTTGGAAATGTCTTGGAGAGATGGCAATGATGTTTTTGACTCAAATATTCAATGGCATATATGAGGGTGAGAAAATGCCTCAGGAATGGAGAAGAAGTGTGCTGGTGGCCATTTTTAAGAATAAGGGTGATGTACAGAGTTGTAGCAACTATAGGGGAATTAAGTTTACAAGCCACACGATGAAGATCTGGGAGAGAGTTGTGGAAGCTAGATTTAGACAAGAGGTGACTATCTGTGAGCAGCAGTATGGTTTCATGCTGAGAATAAGCACCACAGACACCATCTTTGCTTTGAGAATGCTGATGGAGAAGTACAGAGAGGGTCAGAAAGAACTCCTTTGTGGATTTAGAAAAAGCATATGACAGAATGCCAAGAGGGGAGGTGTGTTATTGCATGAGGAAATCTGGAGTGGCAGAAAAGTATGTTAGACTGGTACAGGACATGTATGAGGACAGCAGGTCAGTGGTGAGATGTGCTGTAGGAGTGACATATAGGTTCAAGGTGGAGGTGGGATTGTATCAAGGATCGGCTCTGAGCCCCTTCTTGTTCTATTTCGTATAGGCTTCACCCTTTAAGGCTATCGCTAGTGGGTTTATCCCCTTCACGTGCAGCGCAACACTGAAAACTTTAGTCCACGCCCACCTGCTGTGTGGGCTCCACCCCTGGTCCGTATAAATTACAGTGAGACCGGGTAATCAGCTCCCATTTTTTCTTAAGCCTACCAGCCCTGTTTATCGAGAAGAAGAAGATGTCCAGCACCAGCACCATCCGCCTGTGCCTGTCCTGCCAGACCGGCTAAATTATGAGCTTCGACCGGCACGACAACTGCGAAGGTTGCCTGGGTCCCCGCCATGCTGACCTCGCCTCCTCCTGCTGTCCCTGTGACCTCCTCTCTCTCGAGGAGAAGCAGAGACTAGCAGTCTTGTTCAAGGCTAACATCGAGGAATGTTTTTCCGTGGCAGGGACGCTGGACGATGCCATCGCCTTTTTTGACGCTGAGTCACATAGCGAATCGGATGAATACTCCAGAAAAGGCAATGTCAGCAGCAGCCCCGCTGCTCATTCCCTCCTGGAGAGCATAATGTCGGAAGAGGAGGGGCCAAGCAAATCCCCCCCCCCCCCCCCCGGGTCTTCCCGCATCGGCAAACACACCGCTCCCAGCCGTCGGTGCCCTTCTCTCAGAGCGGCCCGACATAATCCAGAAGACTGACACAAAGGGACTTTCCATCCCTCTTCTCCCCCCACCCAGATCAGATGATCTAGCGGGAAGGTTTGGCTCCACGTCGGCTCGCCACCCTGACCCCATCTGGCCTCGAGTCCCAGCAGTGACGTCCTACTGGAACGAGGCTGCAGCCGGGCATGGTAAGCTGAAGGCTCCCATCGCCACCTTCGCTCCAATCACCAGAGTGGAGGGTTTTACTGAGCGGAGTTTTCCTTCGGTTCCCACCCTGAAGTCAAGTCTGGCAGAGGCACTTGGGGTGAAAGTTTCCAGGTTTGAACAGCGACCTGTCCCTCCAGGGAAACACAACCAGACAGTGACAAAGCTTTCCAACCGAGCTCACCAGTGTTCTTTTCAGGCGTCCGCGGTGAACAACAATGTCGCCCTGCTGGCATAGAGCATTTCGAAGAGGCTGGAGGACACAGACCTGCCTGAGGAGATGAAGAGCTCGCTTTGCAAGGCGGCTGACGTCATTCTGAACATGTGCGCCACCACTAAGGGGATAAACCCACTAGCAATAGCCTTAAAGGGCCGCATCTATACTCATAGAATCTGGGGTTATAGTACGTAACCAATGTTTGCTCTGGTGATGGATTGACTAACAGATGAGGTCAGGCAGGACTCCCCATGGACTTAGATGTTTGCAGATGTCATTGTGATCTGTGGTGAGAACAGGTGGAAGAGAACTTGGAGCAAAATTCCATAAAAAAATAGGTATGGTTGGTTTACATACAGGGCAGCACGGTGGCACAACTAGTAGAGCTGCTGCCTCTCACCGAGAAGGTTGCCGGTTCAAATCCCGGTCAAGGGGCCTTTCTGGGTGGAGTTTGCATGTTCTCTTCGTGCATGCGTGGGTTTTCTCCAGGTACTCCAGTTTCCTCCCACAGACAAAAACATGCATGTTAGACTGATTGGTAACTCTAAATTGTCCCTAGGTGAGTGAGAGAGTAAATGGTTGTTTGTTTTGTTTGTCTCTATGTGTCCCTGTGATGGACTGGAGACCTGTCCAGGGTGTCCCCCGCCCCTCGCACAGTGATTGCTGGACATGGGCACCAGTGACCCCCGTGACTCAAAATGGAAGAAGCGGGTAAAAGATAATGGATGGATAGATGGTTTACATACATTTAAATGGCAGTGGCCATCTTGGATTTTGACATGGCAATCTAATTTTCTAACAATCTAATTTTCTAACAATTTAATTTACTAAAGGAACCTTTCTACACCTGGAAAGCCACACACATGCAGCCACAAACCAAAATGGAAATCTGTACCTCGCTTTTGGGCAGCTGTGACTGAGTCATTAGAGCAGTTGTCCTCCAGTAGGAGAGTTGGGGGTTTGATTCTACCAGCAGTCACATACTGAAGTGTCCGTGGGCAAGACAATGAGCCCCTCTTTGCCTCCAATGTGTGTCCCATTGGTGAATGAATGTGATCTAAGTGAGCTGATTAGTCTCAATAGATTCAGATTATCTTTGTAGAGATCTAGTAGAGTGCTTTATGAATGTGCGTGTGAAGGGCACAGATTGTGTTGTAAAGCCCTCTGAATATATTAATTAGATAGAAAGGCACACTATAAGTACAGTCCATTTACAATTTATTTATTTTTCAAGTTATCCTGCTCATAACATGTACAGATGGATGGACAAAGGGCATTTCCAAATCCCATTTTCGCTCTGAGGGGTGGACAAAAATATAAGTGTAAAAATTGCAGAAATGTAATGACCATTTTAAATGGCTCAAAAAGTTAGAGTGTGACATTTGGAAACTCAGTGGTCAAATATTTCAAAGAGCTTAAGTTTAAACTATGGCAAATCTTTTTGAGGTATCAAAGTTTCAGTTCCGACATGTAAAATCCAACTTTGGCTATAAAGCTCTAGAGAGGGCTGAGCTCAGAAAGCTTCACAAATAGATCTTGCTTAACTCTGAATGCCAGAAAACATTGTGTAGCTACTACCTTCCTACCAGCCATTTACTATGGTGACATTATTTATATGAATGCCACTGCCAGCTCCTTGCAGACGTTGGATGCTGTCTACCATGGTGTGCTAAGATTCATAACTGGCTATAACTACTGTACTCATCACTGCACCCTGTGTTCATTGGTCAATTGGTCATCATTAACTACACACAGACTCTCACACTGGTACATTTTCATCTTTAAATCACTTCTTTGACTGTTGACTTCATATATCTCCTCCCACACGGTGTCTCGTGGTGTCTTCATTGGTGTGGAGGAAGTATACCTGTAGCCCGAACTGGACCAGAACCAAACCAAGTTGGCTGTGGGGGACTTTGCCTTTAACAGAGCCGGTCTCAGCTTCAGTGAGCAGCCTGTTACCTTTAAAGAAGGACTGTCCACCTCCGTGGGAATTGCTGTGTTCGCCTGGAGGAGATGCTCTGATTCTTTGAAGCACCATCGGAACTGGACTGGAGCAGAACCGGGCCAGGGATGACTTCAACCACTTCAGCCTCTTCAGTCTCATCATTGTTTACTGGAGGTAGCCTCTCATGCTGTGGAGCGCCGGAGCCGGACTGGAGCAGAACCGGACCAGTGACAACTTCAGCCTCTCCGGTCAGTCTCGTCGTTTTTCACCGGTGGTAGCTGGGGGTAACCTCTAGCCTCTGTCGGGTGCAGAGGTGACGTGCAGAGAAGCAGAGTGAAGCGCGGAGTGAAGCGCGGAGTGAAGCGCAGAGTGAAGCGCAGAGTGAAGCGCGGAGGAACAGCACTGTGTCAAGCTCTAGAGAAGTCCGGAGTTTACATCGGAGTTTCTGCAGGTTTCCATCTAAACTCACCTGGATAATAATTCATTTTTATTCCGGATCACACTGTTGTTTCCTGTTGACCTGAAACGAGCTAGGACCATGCCTTTCATTTCAGGAGAATTTTCTGGCAGCTCGCTCTGCTATTTGCTGCAAATTATCTGTTTCTGCCTGTTGATTTTGGACCCAGCTTCTGTTTCCCATGGGAGCATCCATCCATCTTCACAGGGGGGCCTGAGCCCCCCTCAGCCCAACTCAAACTGCAGTTGGGCCACCTCGTCGAATTTGTTTGCCCATTTGATTTGTGATGCTTTATGGTCTGAAACTTTTCT